ATGTATATTGTCATGCATATTGAACGGTGTTAAACTTGAGTACTTGGGATTGCTGATTTGCTTCTGTTTTGCTTGGAATATTATTATTTTTAAAATACTTTTTTTGGGGAAGGGACACAAAAAATCACTTACACTCAGTTAATGTTTAGAGATAATTGTTTGTATCCCTCAAAGCTGATGAATTCTGTTTCCTAATTTATAAAGAATACACTGTTATTTTTACAGTGTATCAGATGGGAAAAGTGCCTGCTTTATAAATCTTTCTGTATATTTGCTACCAACAAAAGGCACTGCAATTATATCCTTTTTGAACTCATAGAGGGAAGATGGACATACTTTGCACAAAAGAATGTGTTACAATGGTCCAATTTTTTGAAAAAAAAAATCAGTTCTCACATGACAGTAAGAATCAACTGCAGGTGCAAATTAGTTCCTAAACAAATAAATAATTCCAAAGTAAAGAATTCAAAATCTATATAAAAGGTACAAGGAGAAGGTGAACATGTGAGCTGAGCACAGAGTACAGAGAAGAAAGTTTTACAAGGTGTTATTTATAAGTCAAACAGTAGCATCAGCCAAGTAATCTTCAGCAAGAAGGTGTAGTAAGATAAATCTCATAAACGAGTTTATCCTTTCTGAAGGTCTGATCCTATATATGTTAACTGAATGGAATTCCCTCTGACTTAGGTAGTCTGAACTCCTTAACAGTTCTTACATGTATTTGGTCTCCCTAAGATTGCACCACCTAAGGGTGCTGCAATACCCTTCTTGCCTAAATCAGCACATTTCTGATTTTCGGTTTTGCTTGCTTTCCTGAGATGTTACAGATTTGAAAATAACATACATAATCTATAAATGAAGTTCTGAGTTGAGTGTCTCATTAAGAGCCTATGAGAGCACCTGAATTTTCAATGTTAATATGAAACTTGTATATTTTGATACCAAGCAAAAGCTGTAGGAAATGATAGAGCACATAGAGGAGCCAGCCTATTTTTGCAGTTAAGAGAACTGTAGTATATCGGGTCATCTGAGGATTTTTGCAAGGGCTTTTTATTGGGTGAAAATCTGTAAGAACGTATTAAATATTTGTATGGTATCCTCAGTTCTCTGGGGTTATGATTTTCAGTGTTGCAGTAGTGAAGGCTTGAGACAATATGGTACTTTTAAGGCAGTAATGACTTGCCAAGCTAAAACAAAATCTTAAAAGCAGTCTTTAGGTGACAAATTGAAATCTCTTTGCTCAGGCTGTAGCTCTGGGTTTGCACAGTTTAAAATGTTCACTTTGGAACTTGTTGGTGGAAACCCCTTTTGCAACCCAAAATTCAAATTCTCTTCAAGCATTGTTCTTGTATTGAACTGAAGCTGAAAATAGGATGAATGCATAGGGTTTTACTGGCCTGCTTCTGAGCATGTCATTTACTGTATCTAGTGTCTGCTAATTGTGTGCGGAGTGTGGATGCTCTGCCTTACTGTCCATGCCAGCTAGCCCCAGGTTTGTAGCATGCGGTCCCCATCCCTGCGTGGAGGAGCTGTGCTTTGCAGCTGGGTCTCAGGAACCACTGGGCAAGTTACCTGAGAGTTTCTGGAACTTTTTTTTGTGTGTCATTTAACCACTGAATTTCCATGGAAGCTTTTAAAAGGTGTGGGCTGCAATAACCATTAAAAATGATGTATGGTGACTTAGGAAGAAGAAATAAGCAAGATGAAATAAGGCTTTGAGATTTTTTATTATTATTTTTTTTTTATTCCTGATCTTTTCGGACAGTTGAAGACTGAAAAGTTCTCTCTAAAGAAAAGTTGAGATTGAAGGTGTCCACAAAACTAGTCTTACCTCTTCACAGTCTGGTCACCACTTCTGGTTTTACCTTCAGAGGTATGCAGAGGCAGAATAGGCTCAGGGCAACAGCATGGTTTGGCCACGTTCCTGCTTTGGCTGGGCCAGGTCCCAGGAAGGCTGGGCTGGTGGCTGGCACGTGTCTCCTGGGGCAGCACTTCTGCTACACGTCCTCTCTTCCCTCCCTTTCCTTCCTGGGGTGAAGCCCTGATCCTTGCCCAAGTAGCGTTGCCTCTGGCCGGTGGTGAGCCAGGCCTGGTCCAGGTGTAGCTGTGTGGTTACGGCTGTATCTGACTTTGGTTTGGGTTGAGAGAAGTCAAATGCAAAAGTTAGGGGAACGGGTAAGTGCTTTCAATTTAAAAATATGTTAATAGGTTGCATGATCATCTGCAAATGTAACTGATATGTGAATGCTCTCCAGTCCACTGAATGTGTCTGTGGATCACCCTGTGCTCACTGAAGATTAAATGTCTCTGGGTAACGCAAAAAGACTTCAAAAGGACTTTTTTTTTTTGATAGACATAATAGTTATGATTTTGCTGTTTAAATATCCTAAATCCAAGGGAATTCTCAATAAATGGCATCTTTGTCGTAGACTGAAGAGCCATGCTTTGAATAAATATGACTGCTAAAAGAATTTACTTAAGCAACAGTAATTGCTTGGTAGCATCTTCAGTGCTACTTGAAACTGGTAGCTTTCTTCGGTTTTACTTGAAACTATTCATGTAAAAATGTCTACTAAAACCGAACTCTTTACAGTCTGTGACTCTAATCCAGTTAAATGTAGAAGCTATTCTAAAGTGAGTGATTTTTTTTCTTTTCCAAATTGATCTACCATTGGCTAAACAAGCTGATATGTGGATGTGCAGCTAAATCATAGATTTGTTTCATTTTCATATTCTAACTCTGGTAGTTTTGTGTTCATTGTGATAAAATGCAAAAGGAAGTAAGTCTGTTAGGAAGATAATTTGAGAAATGAATCAGAGTGACTCAAAAAGCACGTAGGTGTTAGGGTGACAGCTAGCTTCGGTTCATATAAATACCCATTTTGATATATAAAATAGAAAAGTTTTTAAAGAAATTAAAAACAAACACAATTTTCATTGAACTGTCTTGCAAAGGAAAGGAAGGGAAGTAGGTTGGAATATTTCACAAAGCAATCTCCATTATATTGAGTTCTTGTTTTCAGCATTGTTAGTGTTGGGGTTTTGTGCAATTCCCCATATGATGTATCAACAGATAGCAGGATATTCTGCATATTGCTGATACTTATAAGTATGCTGTGTCAGTGTACAATTCAGTTTTTGCTTTTTCACTTGAAATCATTTCCAGTATATTTTCTAACTTTTTTTTTCACTTTTTCTCATAAGGTACCAAACTTTGGGTTTGAATTGTGTATTTTCTGTTAAAAGGTGATGATGTTCTTACGTCTTTATAACATTGAGTTTGGAATGATTTGTGCATGAGATGTTTCAGTATGCATTTTCTTGACCTTGAAATGTGAAGTGTTCTTGCATTTTAACTGACGCATTTTTATGAAAAGGTCTCTGTGTCTTTATTACTCATTTCTCGAGGAATTATATACTAGCAATTAAAAACAGTGCTTTTAAAATGTTGCTGAGTATTTATGTCGAGGTAATCCCTCTAATATATGTTTGTAACAAAGTTTTAAGATCATACTTATTATCTTAAAGTGCTATACTTGAGAACCACAGGGAAAAAATTAAAAGGCAGAATTTGAATGTTTAATTTGTTTGAAAATTTAAGATGTTCAGGTGCTGTAATTTCTGGCCTGTGCCAGCTCAGACAAAAGTGCAATAACTTTATTTTAAGCTCAATGTATTTCATCTGCTGACACTTCAAGATGAAATGCTTAAAGTCCATTTTGTGGATATATAGTATACTGAAAAATATTTACCATCCTAAAGTGTCAATGTACTTCAGTAAGAAAGGATTGTACAATGTACTATTAATAAGAAAGGATTGGGAAATATTTTATGACAACTTGTCACTTGAATATGTAATTTTGCCTGTGCAGTTCTGTGTATGAATTTGACCCAGCTAAAACTAATCCTGAAGCCAGGCCCACTCCTGCTTGCAAAAGTGCTCTTGTGGTCTTGGGCCAAGGGGAGGTGGGAGCTATGAAGAATTTATTTGCCACTTCAAGGAATCCAAGCCAGCTTTTAATTTGTATTTGTTTCCAGGCCAAAGATCACATGGGTGTTGCTCCTCTAGCACTTACAGTGCAAAGGCATTTGCCGTTAACCAGACCTTGGTTGAAAAATATTGTGTATTTAATAAGAATCATAAAGGTGACCACATCCTTATTAACGCTGTGGCATAACAGGAAGATAATGGGCTCCGAGGGAGATTAGTGAGATTTTTGAGTCGCAAAAGCATTAAGTCAGTGTAAATCTGTAAGTAAGCCGCTCAAACCTGCTAATACAATAATCTTGAACTCAGCGCACAACCGTTGCTGGCATTAAGACATCTATGTGGTCACCTCGTACATGGCTCTTTTTCAGACTCAGGTAGCAGTAGCAGTCCTCCAAGTCTTATTCATGAATTCATGAAGAAGGAAAGTTTTTTCTTTTTAAAAAAAAAAAAAAAAGTTACTGAAGTGTGCACAGTAACAGCCAGGGCAGGTGTCTGTTTTTACCTGTTTCACCGATAGCAGGACTATCAATTTTAGCTGGCCATGGCTGGCCATTTCCTCTGCCGTAGAGCTGTCCATGGCAATTTGGCCGCCTGAGCCTGATTTGATGTTCCTTCTGCTTCCATCCACCTCTCGAAGGACTAAAAAAGCCTCACTTGGTGGTGTTTGTAAATCCTAGTTTGACTAGTCCCATGCTTTTCTGCACTTGTTCTGTTCCAGGTTAGTGCAAGTAAAGCCCCAAGTGAAAAGCACTGTTATGGTCTGTTTAGCTGATGTTAGAGTCCTTCTAGTGCAAGAGTGGCATGTCTTTTAGAAATTCATTTGACAGTTATTTACTTCAATGGTTTTGGAAATGACAATGTTCTTTGTTTGTTTTGTTTTTTTTTTTCTCATTCTTTTTGAACCCCTGTTTTATATGTCTGTGTTTTTTTTTCCTCTGCCTAGACCTGGTTAACCATTTCTGTGAACAGGTCCTCAATTTTTTACTTTGTCCCTACTTTCCTGTCGTAGCCCCATCTTCCCCTGGTGTCGACTCCGTACCCTTACAGCGCACAGGCAGTCAACACGGCACACAGAACGCAACCGCGACCTTCCAGAGGGCCAGCTATGCTGCAGGCCCAGCCTCCAATTACGCAGACCCCTACCGACAGCTGCAGTATTGTCCTTCTGTTGAATCACCATACAGCAAATCTGGGCCAGCCATCCCACCTGAGGGGACCTTGGCTAGGTCACCTTCCATTGATAGCATTCAGAAAGATCCCAGGTGGGTGAAACCTTAATTGTCTACTATTTCTTGTTTGTGCAGAGGTTTGAAATTGCAGTTTGCTTTGTGTGTTTCCGCTACTGAATATCACCACCAAAAATACAGCGAGAACAAAAAACGCCACAACCTGAAACCTGATTGTAAGTATAAAATTTTGTTTCTATACCAATGCTGTTCTAATGCTTTGCCTTGGAAGGCTCTCATGAGCTCTTCTTTGAAATGAAGTGATAGGTGTTGTCTTGGATATGTATATGCCGTGGATATGCCTGCTTTCAAGTACTGGTGCTCCTCGAAGTCTTCTGAGAAGTATTATTTTTTTTTTTCCGAAAATGAAAGCAGTGGTATGACTGTTTTGACTGACCATTTTGGATTGACGTTTTAAGTCACTCCTTGGGCAGCAGTTGTTACAGTTGTTGGTTTTTCTGCAGTTAGTATTCCTAAAAGCTTCATAAAAGGATATTCTGGTACTAGGCGATGAGACTGAGTGATGTGAAACAGCCTGTGGTCAGGTTTGTGCTTCACCCTGTGTCTTGTGCAGGCTTCTAATGCCAGTGAGTGGTAGCAGAATGTATGTGCACGTTCATTGAGATACATTCATGTGCCTAGGGAAGGTGCAAGAAGAAACTTTATAGTCTCTTCTGTAGTTTTATAGTTGGCATATGCCAAGGAGGCACACAGGTGGACAGGTTGTAGAGAGTTTTCTGTCAAATTCTTTGAATTCCATGGTAACAGTAATGGAAACGCTGACTACAATCCTTGATGCACTTGGTGATTTTCTTTAATTTTCAGATGGAAAAGAGAACAGGTATTTTTGGTAACTGAAGTTTAAGCCCATCATAAATGTTAATTTATACAAGTTCAGTTTTGTGGGTTTTTTCCCTGTGGCAGATGGTGTGAAGTATTTATTTATTGTTACATGTAATACATGACAAGAGAACCCAAAAATTTGCTCCAGCAAAAATGGTAGAGGTGTTTAACAATTTGTAAAGGCTTCTCTTGCTGCATTAAGAATCCAGTATCCACAAACTGATCTCTCTACATGTTTAGCATCATAGAAGTTCTCTCTCCCTCCCCCAAAACCCCAGAGTAGATAAATATTAAGGCACATCAAAAGTATCACATCTCATGACCACCACAGCTACTACAGAGTTCAACTTCTTGAGAAAACTTCCATCTTCAACATTTTTCATTAGCTTTTGATACTCCTCCAGAAATTTGAAAAAATATGAACCCAATTCCTCCCCATTTTCCCCTTGCAATGTACAGGCATTGGTAACCAGAGAGAAGCGGTCTTTTTCTGAAACCTAGATGTTCCAATACGTTTGTGTTCCAGAAAATAAAAGCTCATGAAAGAGAAAAAGCTTTGCTTTGTGAATGTCTCATTTTCAAACTTAAAGAAAATTGTTTTAGGAGTGCACTAAACCAGAGGAAAAATTAACTGTAATCCATATGAAATGTTCTTAAGAAATGCATGATGTTACTGAAGGCACTATTCCAAATAGACAAGAAAGACATATTTGCAGTATCTCTACAGGTGCTAGATATTATGTCTATTTAAAATAAAAGGTCACCTCTGTTTAGTTGCTTTGCTATCACTTTGAAACTGATAGTCAGTTACTGTCTATGAAATGTGCTCGTAAAAGAAGATTTTCTCCTGCAGATTTTTCATTTGGCAGCTTTTTACATTCTTTCTTGTATTGTGACCATTTGTGCGTTCATGAGTATTGATTTCTGTAGGTAAAGTAGCAGCAAGTAGGCATCGAGGTATAAATTGAATTTGATAAAATCTTGGAGTCATTAAATACCCTTTTGTTATGATCACAATTAAATGAATTTGGATTTTTCACAATCATTTCTACAAAAGAGGTTTGTGTTACTCTATGGATCAAATGAATGAGATTGTGCATGGTGTCAGTCACTTAATTTTGCTGCCCTACTTGTAAGTGCAGAATAATTCTTACAAAGCAATGTCAGTAATATTACTGCTGATGTTGTGTCTTAGTACCTAGAAGCTATAGTCCACCTAGGCAAGCTGCTTTGTGAAACTAGTTGTGGACCAAAGCAGTTGCTGATATTTCAAAGATTGCCAATTTTTTACGATCTTTCCAAGTGTGCAGAAAAGAAATAAAAGTGGTCAGAAGACTGTTAATGTTGATTTCTATGGATAGAGTACAAAATCTTGGATAAATGACAAGCACGGAAAGGAGGGGACAGATGACTTTCCAGATGCTTGAAAAAAATTTAAGGACAGAACTTTATATAGTAGCACTTAGGAGATACAATTATAGGTAGTGGTTTTAATAAGGAAAATGAGAATGTCTCAAATATAAGAACAACTTTCAGTAGCCGTGGCAAGTTTCATTGTATTGTTCAAAATGTTATCATTTATATCTTCAGGAAGAAAGAAACAAGAAACATGTTGGCCGGTAGATGGACTTGAGAAAATGATAGATCTTGAGCTTCTTTACAGAGCTGTTGCTGCCTTTGTGGTTGATTGGTTGGTTTGTTCCTTTTAAAAAGGTCTTGTGTAGTTGTTGAGGAGAGTGGCAAGCATAATTTTCAGACACTAAGCCTACCTGTCCAAACAAGCGTTCACTGTCAGAGCAAACTGCAAGACAAAGGCATATTAACTGCAGATTTTTGAACAGCATTTGCAGTATGTCAGTCAGTTCAGGATTTAAAAAAAAAAAAAGGTTGCCCAGAAGAGAATATACTTATCTTAATAAGCAATTATGGTTTCTAAAACTGAATGTTGTTTTCTAGACTTCAGTTCAGCTGGGATTTCCATCTGAAGTCCAAGAAAAATGGTTGGCAGGCACTGAAGTAATTGACAATTTTTTCCATTGTTTTCACTGTGTAGTTTGGATTACTAATACTGTCGTTTTACATACATGTTCTGAGCTGACATTTGGCGAATGAAATTTTAGCTCAACATCTGTTCTCCATCATCCAACTGTCATAAAATACAGTGTAATATTCATTAACTTAAACTTTAGGAAAAAACTTTCCAAAAAGTATCAGAATATTTATCAGGTTTGTGGTCGTGGATAATTTTTAAGTTAGGCAGACTGTTAGCTGGTATGAACTGACGTAGTGAAGACTACATGCATCTATACTGGCAGAGAGTCTGATGATTTGTGTTATTTAAAAAGGAAATGAGTCCCCTTTTCTTACCACCTGTCAGAAATAAAACTTATGTGTATGGAAAAAGAGAAGTCAAATATCAAAGACAATTTACAGGTTGATTCTTCAGAGCATCCTTATATATTTACTGCAGGTCAAAAAAGGAACAGAAATACGCAGTAGAGATGTGATATAAACTGTTTCATGCCATCATTTCCTATATGAAATGTGGCATAGAGAGGGGGTGAGAGCATAACACTTATTTTCTAACTGTTGTTTTGCTTTTGTTTCTTATTAAACTGTGAATGAGAGAAAGTGTGAGTATTTTAAAGTATTGGAAATATATGCTTGCTGTATTTTCTGCCATACATTCATTTAAGAAGGATCAATCTGTCCCTTAGCACTAACAAATTATTTAAGGTCTGTCCATCCCTAGAATTTAGGGCAACTGGGGAGCCCTAGAAATTCAAATGTCAGTATGCAATTGTCAGTCTATGTACCTTCCAATTTCTACTCAAAAATATGTGTAAATTAAATTGCTTAATTTCTGAGTTTTTGAATTATTACAAAACCATGCGTATGTACCATTCCTGATGAATCATACCAGCTGCATAAGAGGTGAAAAATACATAATTTTCTTATGTTTCAGCTAAGTATATACCAATGACATTTTGTAGTAGCAGTAGTTTTGGTTTTGAACTCCATGTGTCTGTTTTGATGGGTTGAGTTGACGTGTCTTTCACTGTTTTGTGACTCTTCTTTTATTCTTACCTGATTTTATTTACACTCTTATATGCACAAATGTTTTCTTCCCCTCAGAGAGAATGGCAAGATGCTGGGTTACAAGAATTTTGTGAAAAATGCTCTATGAAGGCTATCAAAATGAATTTCAGTGTTCAGATGCCCATTTGCATTATATTAATCTACATTTAAAGATACTCCTTGATGGGCTTCTCTTTCCCAAGATACGTATTTCAGAGCCCTTAAAACTTTTTCTTTGGGAGAAATGGTCTTATTTGGTGAACACAGCTGCAAAGTGCAGACTGCAACGATGATTGCACTTCTTGTTTTTAGGGAAAAAGAAAGGAAAGCTAATACCAACAGTAGCAGTGAAATCATGTTGCAACTGCAGAAGTAAAAAAAAAAAAAAAAAAGTTAAATCCAACTTCTTCTCAGCAGCTCTTGCTTTAGAACTGTCTGGGCACAGGTCAACAAAGTAACGGAGCTTTCCAGGTACTGCATGATTGAGCTGTAATACCCAAAGACGTTTCTGCTTCATTCCGTGCATTCAGAGCCCACATCCCATTTCGTTACCTCTGCTGGCTGTAATTTTCCTCCTAAGCAGAAAATGGAGGTGCTGGCTGCCTATTTTCTAAACTTTAAAATTGGCTTTCTTTCCACTTATGAAAGGAAATAAATTAGATCAGAACATTCTGTATGGACTGTAAATTTCAAAACTTATCTTGTTGGTATATTTTTCTTTTTCAGTTTTCTTTTTTTTCCCAAAAATGTGCTGTGTTTCCAAAATGCAAGCTAGAAAGCTTTCTTTTCTGTAGGAGAAGTGGTAGAGGTAAAATAAACTGTAGTTAACTTTTGTGTTCCAGTAAAAGTGCCTATGAGATCAGCACACGCAGTTTGGAACGTGGCCTGTTAAAGGGTAAATGTTTCTGCAGGAGTCTTTACCATATATTTAATCTTGCTTTGTTCCAAGGATTGTCTCAGTGTTAATGGTGTTAGTCTGCTGTAAACCTGAATAGCAGCCAGGCAGTAGAGCAGTGTAACAAGGTAAGAAAAGTGTAAACCCGCATGTGTGGGACCTTGGGCATCTTTGTGAGAATTTATCTGGTAGCTCCTTCAGGAAGGGTTGTCACACACGG